CTGAGATGTACGGGAGTGGAATGCCTCATCCTGGGAGCAGATGCGGCAGAGGCGAAGGAATTGGGAATAGGGGATAGCATTTTTGCAGGAAGGTGGGTGGGAGGAGGAGTATTCTAGGTAGCTGTGGGAGTCGGTGGGCTTGAAATGAATATCGGTTTCTAGGTGGTTGCCCGATATGGAGACAGAGAGGTCCAGGAAGGGGAGAGAGGTGTTAGAGATGGTCCAGGTAAACTTAAGGTTGGGGTGGAAGGTGTTAGTGAAGTGTATGAACTGTTCGAGCTCCTCGTGGGAGCACGAGGCGGCGCCGATACAGTCATCAATGTAACGGAGGAAGAGGTGGGGTTTAGGGCCGGTGTAGGTACGGAAGAGGGATTGTTCCACGTAACCTACAAAGAGGCAGGCGTGGCTTGGGCCCATGCGGGTACCCATGGCTACCCCCTTTGTCTGTAGGAAGTGGGAGGAATTGAAAGAGAAGTTGTTGAGGGTGAGGACGAGTTCGGCTAAGCGGATGAGGGTGTCAGTGGAGGGGGACTGGTCGGGCCTGCGGGACAGGAAGAAGCGGAGGGCCTTAAGGCCATCTGCATGGGGAATGCAGGTGTAGAGGGACTGGACATCCATGGTAAAGATGAGGTGTTGGGGACCGGGGAATTGGAAGTTCTGGAGGAGGTGGAGGGCGTGGGTGGTGTCACGGACATAGGTAGGGAGTTCCTGGACCAAGGGGGAGAAAATGGAGTCGAGATAGTTGGAGATCAGTTCGGTGGGGCAGGAGCAGGCGGAGACAATGGGTCGACCAGGGCATTCAGGTTTGTGGATTTTGGGAAGGAGATAGAAGCAGGCAGTGCGCGGTTGGGGAACGATGAGGTTGGAGGCCGTGGGTGGGAGGTCTAAGGGTCTGTTTCTGCGCTGTATGACTCTATGAGTACTTCAGAGAGGAATGAAGATGGGGGTGATAGTTTGTAAAGGCAATGAAGGATCCCAAACCGAAACGTCAGCTTTTCTGCTCTTCTAATGCTGCCCAACCTGCTGTGTTCGTCCAGCTACACACTGTGTTACCTCTGACTCCAGCATCGGCAGTTCTTACTATGTCTCAATGAGGTCAAGGTCCATTTTTGAGAAGGGGGCAATTTTTAATATTGGGATGATGATGAGAAAAGAAACAGAAGAAATTACAGGTTTTGGGCTAGGGTAGGAGAAACCTTGACGAAATTTAGCTCACGCAACAAGACCAAGCTTCATTTACCAGCGGCTGCTAAAGATATATCAATCCTGGTGAGAAAGAAGAGTTGGAGTTCCCACGTTTAATTTTATATTTTTTGGGAGGGAGGGGGGCACGTCGAGAGATGTACGTGTGACAGGAACACATTTGGGGAAATGTATGGTTTTTACCCTACGGATTTTACGGTTATCCCTCATGCAGGTGCCACACTCCAATCCGCGGTTTATCAGTGCGTGTTTGGATCGGGGGAGGGAAGGGGTAGAAGAGGAAAGCCAGAATTTTTGATCCATACTCCGGGTTTTGCGGATCTCCGACATCCGGGTATTCACCGGCCTTTCCCTCACACACGCCCCCCCTCCCCTAAGCCCCGCAAAACTGACGCCCCTCCTCTCTCCCCGGCGCCGCGTCATCAGCTGGAGACAAGATGGCGGGCAGAGGACTGAAGCCCGGCTCTGGAGTCAGTGCGCAGCCTGGGCGACACTGCGTCCTCGCCGCCGCTGGCTCCACACACTGGTAAAGTACTGTCGCCTGAGCGACTCACAGGGGGAAAAGACAGCGAGAGAATCGTTTTCTTTAGAGGAGGAGGAGGCGGAGGAAGGAAGGGAAATTCCCCGGCCGTCAGTCAGAAACGGAGACCCCACTTACTGCTGAGTTTTGAGTCTTTGTGACCAAGCGGCTCGCTTGAATTCGGCCATGTATTTCCTGAGCGGCTGGCCCCGGAGGCTGCTATGTCCCCTCAAGGGCTCGGAGAAGCCGTTTCACATCCAGCCCGACTCGCGGAAACTGGTGTTCGCGCTCCTGTCGCAGTCACAGATCAGCCTATGGTACAGCAGGGTGAGTAGGAGCTCCAGCATCTGCACCGTCCTCGTCCTGGCAATATCTCTGTGTATCCATCTACCTGCCCGTGCCCCCCGTCAGCGTGTGGAAGTGTGCCTGTGACCCCATGCTGCGAGCGCGTGGGGGTCTGCCCTGCTGCCCCCAACCCCTGCGAGCAAGTGTGTCTGCTTGATCTCTCTCTCTGGTGCGAAAGCAGCGTAGTGCTAGATATCATTCTTCAGTCTGTCCCCCATACTTTCTTCCCTCAGTGCCTGATTAAAAAAAAGCTGTTTTCCCTCCACAGAGTCGTCAGTGGAGTCAAATCAAATCTTCAGAGTTTGGGGTTCTGCCAAAATCTATTTAAAACTGAGTGAATGGGGTTTGTGTGTGGGGACTAGAGGAGTTTTAAAGGTACGCAGTGTTTTTTTTTGTTTTGATAAATGGAAGGGATATCCTGTTGAAAATGATGTCTCCAGACTCTCTGTTGAGACTTTGTTTGTAAATGATTTTGAATTGCTGGCAACTCTAGCTCTGCTTAAACATCTCTTGCATAAGTTTTACTCCTAAGTGTGAGAAAGCTGATCATTCATGATTAAATAGTCAAGCATTAAGTATGGTTTTTGTTTTAAACTGGTTCAACTAAACTATCACTTTGCAGATGTATGGCTATGTTCTTTTTAATCATTTTGAGAATAACAATTAGTGTGTGTTCTGGCCATGTAATGCACTTTACTGCATGGTAGTGCCCAGAGGGGACATTGTCAATCCAAGTTTGAAATTTGAGTAACTTATTATCAGAATCCAGAGGTCTCTTACTCCCTGTGACCCTCTTCATGTGCATATGTTTGTGCATTATTTTGGAAAGTGGAGAATAATGATTGATCAAATGTTATTTCTTATACTGTTATTATTAGGTTATAACATTTTTCCATTTAAAAAAATGAAAGCACTTTCAAACTCTCAACTGCTAATCTTTGCTTCTGCAGCCTCCAATCCGTTCAGTCACTTGCATACCTCCACTTTTGGTGCCTTCACTCCTGCTAGAGCTGCCACTTACATACTGAGCATTTCAGTGAGTGAAAGCTTAACAGACAATTGTTTTAGACCATTCTTTTATTTGTTAGTTACCAGATCTGGTAAGAGCACTTCTCTAGGCACCCCCGCCCCAGCCAGAAGTGATCACTGTTCCAAAGTCATTGAGCTATGCAATGATGATGGACTTTTTTCACTATGCTGTATCTCTCTTTTTAATAGTTATTCCCTGTGGCCTTTCCTTCCCTGAATCAATTGTAGGAAGCTCTGGACTTCTTTGTTACCAAGGATGTGACCATCCATTCAGATATCTGCTAATTTGTAATATTGCCCCACTGCTTCCTCTTAGCCACCAAGTCAAACTTTTCCCAGGGTTCTCTCTGCTAAAGTCTCAACCGGCATCTTTCTCTGTCATATCTCCTGTCTGAGCCTGCCCTGAAAACCACCCCCTACTCAAAGGTACCCACACTTGACTTCTCTGTCCTTCTAAACTGCATACTATCATATCTCACCTGCCCTCTCCAAAGCCCTTGAACATGCCAATGCCTCCTAAATTCGTATTCATCTTTTCTGGAGTCCCTTATTTGAATCCCTGCAATCAGATTTTCACCTGATGCCATAGTAGTGCAGCAGATCTTTACAAAAGCACAAATGGCATCTTTGTGACTCTATAAAGGTCAATTACTCTTCCTCTGTCTGCAGCTTCTGACAACGTTGACCTCACCATTGTCTGAAGTCTTTTCACATCATCCAACTGTGTGTGATTACATTAGCCAGGCTCTACTATTATTACCTAATTGTAGCTCGTGAATATTCAAAGCAGTCTCTCTTCCTGCATCCACACTGGTGTTCAATTGGGAAGTTTATGGGCCTTCCAAGTGAAGAATCAGCAAAACAGGAACAAAACTTTAAAACATTTGTCATATTCAAATTCCCTCTCAGCTACTGATGCATGCCATCTCTCTAAACTTGCAGACCTCCATATCCTGTGACCTTTGGCTTGTGAACCACGCATCCTGCCATCTTTAAGCCAGCATTGGCGAACCTTTTAGTCTCCCTTGGCTGGTACTGTCAGCCTAAATGACTTCAAATTGCTGCTTCTCTTTCCTTTCAGAGCTTTCTCAAAAGAAGATGATCTTTCTCTCCAGTTGCACACTGGTCATCTTTTGCCACGTGTTTTCCACCTATGGGGTATTTTCTACTTGAACGTTTTATATAATGTATGTTATAGCAGCAAGTTTGTTTGCAGATTTCTAGATGTGGTGAGAGACTAACAAAGAATGGAAACCAGTTTGCAGCAAAGATCGCATATTATTACATGTTTCAATGTACTTGGAGCAAAAGGGAGATGCATTGTGTAATTGTATCATCCATGCTACCCAATTGAAAGCAAGCCCAATTTGAAACAAAAACTTGCCTTACCCTAGAGAGGCTAGTATCAAGATTGTTATTGCTGTTAAAATGATAGGATAGGATGCCACCATAGAAGATTCTTAGACATTGGAATCATATTTGGTTCTGACCCTGATGTTGTTTGACTCCCAACCAGCTTGCGTGATTGTACCATTTAAGAGGCACCTTTAGCGCTTCATCCAAATCAGGACATCGGTGGGTTTTGCTGGTGGGAAGGCCAGTCAAGTCACCTGAGGTCTTTTCCAAAGAAAGCTTAACAAAGATTTGGCCACAGCTGCCAAACAATCGTTGTGGAGTACCCAAGCAGGCACCCAGTCGCCTATCATTAGCAACCTGTCCCTTCTGGGCAGATGGTTTTTGCTGTTATGAATCTGTCTTTGGCAAGATCACGCAGTTAAGGGCTGACACACAGACAGCCTAGCATGCCTCTTTCATAAATTCCCCTAGCACTTGCTTTCGAAGTTACTTCTATGCAATTAATAAGATTCCACCTTTGGAGTGTGATGCTTTATACTAAAAGCTAACTGAGTGGCCCGTTTAATACACAAGCTAGCTTTTGAAAGAAAAATTGTTCTGTTGCTTTGGTATTTCATTTTAAAAGCATGACGTACTATTGACACTAAATTACTGTATCGCACAGACCATAGAATCACAATGAGATTCTCTTATTGTGCAATTTAACAATTTCTGGCATTAGTTCAACAATTATAATTGAGTAGCTAGGTAACTATCTGCAGGTAGTCAAATTGTAATATTTCACTTGATTATTATTGGAATCAGGATCTTCAGATTAGTATTTACAGCAGCTTGTGGCTTAAATAGTTTTTGTCCTGTCCACTATAGAACCGCTGATAAGTTGCAACCAAACTAATCTGGATTGATTTTTCAGATGGTTTTGTTTTTTTTTTGAAGAGGTGAAAAATGGGGAGGTTACAGTTGAGTTGGGGGGTTTTATTTCTCCTTTTCAGTCTCCAATGTGGCAGTTTTACTTGCATTTGTTAGTTGAATGTCTCTTTGAGTAGGATAATTGTGGTCTTCGTGGTGAATATTTTATGCACTTGCAATAACAGCAATGCCTCATTGGCTGTAAAGTCTTGAGGTTGTGGAAGGCACATGAAAATACAAGTCTTTGAATTGCATATTACCTGATATATGGTTCGGTATTTTTCATTCCTATGATTTTTAGTAAATACAGCCTCGCTTAACTTACAAGAAACTGCGTATTATCCTGAATAGATGTGGCATAATATGTTTGCAATGCTACTTTGTATTACTTTCTCTTTTTATTTACAGTCTAGTTCAGCTAGATAAAGTGCTCAAATATTTGACTTTGTCACCTTAACACAACTACACAACATCATATTGGCTCAGATATTCCAATCAGTGGCGAAAACTCTATCTCTGACCCCAATCAGATTAAACGCTACTCACTTACCGTTAGATGACTTCTGTGCTGGAAAGTCCTGGACATGGGCCCATGAACTCATTGAGGAATTCGCAGATTCAACAGTGCAGAAGTCCTTCTAGAAACCAATGTCATTTTGCAATAGGAAATAGTGTTCTCTAATTTAAATGTCATTGTATCTACACCGAATAGACTGCAGATTGCCACCACTTTCTTGAGGGCGGTTAGGGATGGGTAATAAATGCTAGTCCAACAGTGAAGCCCACGTTTCTGTGAAATAATTTTTTAAAAAATGGCAGTGCAGTAAGAGTAGGTTTTAATCCTCTAACTTTTTTTTCCTTTATTTGTGTTAAGTTTAACTAAGTGAGTACCTCGAACTGTGACAGCAAGGGGCTTTTTCAGAAATGTGCAGATAGAAGGGAATTGCACATCAGAAGTTTCAATATTGCCGGTAATTCCCAGAGTCTGTTGCATCAAGGATTCCACAAGTTCCTGACATGTTGCTCGAACAAAAGTACTCTACCAAAGCAAATGTTAGTTTTTGCTTTATGTATTGGTTTTGGATCAGTTTGCATTGAATAAGTATGAAAGTGGACCAAATGGTGAACAAGCTAAATTGAGTATGATTTGCTGGATTTATTTTTGAATTTGAGAAAAAAGTTCCAGCCTAATATTGGAAATAACCGACCTTGTCATCTCTATCAGTATGATAAATTCTTGCAAAACATGGTTTAATGGCAGTGTGTGCTGAATTACACAAATGTGACTCTGTTCAGTCATTAATTACACAGCTTTCAGTATATTTAGATATTTGGCCTCTGATCGTGATTTGGTGTTTCAGTCGAGAATCAGCCATGATTCTTAATGGCAGAGAAAGCTCCAGAGTCCAAATGATCTATTGTCTCCATTTATGTCTTTGAAATTCATGAAATGTGTAAATGGAAAGCTTTTGGACCTTTGTCACAAGCGACTGTATCCATCTAAAAGCATTCAGACGTATAGTTTGAATGTTTCTTTTTTGATGTCTAAACTGTGGCATTGAAGAGGCATTGTTGTACCTTGTGAAAAGCAATGTGTTCAGTGGTAAACTTGTGTTAGCTTTAGTATTGCAGTGTAAAAATACTTAGCTTGCACTTGAAAACTGCAAATACTAAAATCTGAAGTTTGC